GGCTCAGGTCATGATCTTAGAGTCATTGAGATCAAGCCCCATGTCAAGCTCCATGCTGGGCATGGAACCTGCTTGAGATTCTTTCTCCCTCTCTCCCTCTAAAATAAATTTTTTAAAATACCCACTGGATTTGCTAACATGGAAGTCACTGGTGACTTTGGCAAGGGCAGATTCCGTGGAGCAGTGAGGCCAAGTCTGACTGACATGGGTTTAAAAGAGACGGCAGGAAGACTCCCTGTCTTCTGCCCACAAAAGGTAACTGCCATGGGGCACGCCCCTCTACTATAAACAATGGGAAAACAAAAGATATGAAACAACTCATGAGATACTGATGACAGGCAGCATAGGACTGTCATCCTTGACAGAGGGGCAACAAAGGACATGAGCTCAAGGACTGCCCTGGATTTCTGTCAAGAGGCAATTTCTGGACATAGCACAAGGAAGGGAGCACAGGGCTCTCGCTGAAATGAAAACGTATGTCCATACGAAGATGTGCACAGAAATGTTCACAGCAGCTCTGGGTATAGTAGGCAAAAACTGGAAACAACCCAAATGTCCATCAGCAGGTGAACAGATAAACAATTATGGCATACGCATACAATGGCATACTATTCAGGAATGAAATGAGTTACTGATAAACGCAACATGGATAAATCTCCATGGATAAAACACAACATGGATGACTTGTGCTGAGAAAAACAAGCCAGGCAGAAAAGAAAATACAAAACCAGTCTATATAGAGAGATCAGTGGTTGTATGGGGCCAGAGAATGAAGTGAGGGGTGGGGGGAGAGTGGCAGGGGGCTGACTCGGAAGTGACCCAAGATAATTTTTTATAATAATGAAAATTTATCATGGTTATTACGATATTATATATTAGAGGTATATTCATTTGTCAAAACTCATGGAACTGTACTCTCAAAAATGGGTACACTGTATATATGTAAATTATACCTCACTAAGGTTTATTTAAAAAAAAAAAAAAAAAACATTCTAGCCAGAGTCCTGCTTCCAGTAATGGTGAACTGGCTCATTTCAATGGTCTCTCTTACTAAGAAAACCGCAACAAAATATTGGGGAGCAGGGGGGGAATGACTCCAAGATATTATAGTGGAGCAAAGCAGAGAATTACACAGTCCCAGTTAAGACTAAGAAAATCCAGAGAAGTGAGTGTGATGTTTCGGGTTCCCCACCCCACACAGTGAGTGTCTGCCAAGTCTAGAAGAGGCGAAAGAGAGGCAGAGCAGCTAAACAGACTGCCTGAGACTGACTCAATCCATGTTAAAAGTTTTTAAAAAGAGAGAACAGAACTGAAATCAATTTGCATAGAAAATTCGAGTTCTGTGGCAAAGGAGAGCAGAAGCATCAAAAGTGGCCGTAAATGAGGGAAATGGACTCAAGAAACAGTTTTAAACTTAATTTTTTTTTAATTTAAAAAAAAAAATTTTTTTTTAAACGTTTATTTATTTTTGAGACAGAGAGAGACATAGCATGAATGAGGGAGGGGCAGAGAGAGAGGGAGACACAGAACCGGAAGCAGGCTCCAGGCTCTGAGCCATCAGCCCAGAGCCCGACGCGGGGCTCGAACTCACGGACCGCGAGATCGTGACCTGAGCTGAAGTCGGACGCCTAACCGACTGAGCCACCCAGGCGCCTCTGAACTTAATTTTTAAACAATTTTTTGAGTAGGACAAAACACACGTGGTACAAAGCCATGAAGGTACAAAAGGACTATAGCACAAGCTCAATTTCCTCTCATCCCTGTTTCCCAGCCCCTCAGCTCCCTTCCCAGACGCAATCACTCTTACCAGTTTCTTCCGTATTTTTCCACAGATATTTTATGTATATAAAATATGTACAGAATAGATATTCTGGAGCTACTCTATGTATATCAACCTCAGCACCACTAATATTTGGGGCCAGATAATTCTTTGTTATCGGGGGCTATCCTGTGCACTGTAGGATATTAAACAGCATCCCTGGCCTCTATCTACCGGTCACCAGAAGAACCTCCAGTTGTGACACACAAAAATGTCTCCAGACACTGCCCTCAGTTGAAAACCACTGATGCATACCCAAGCACACACACATGTATTTCCTCTCTATATTTTCCTACAAACTCATGCCATATATATGGGTTTTCATCTTTTTTTACCTTATAATAATTGCAGATCATTCATCAGTCATACAAAGATTTCAAATTTTATTTATATCTAGCTGCCAACAAGTGAGGCTATTTATAATATTCATTATCTTAAGAGCATTCTTTTTTTTTTTTTTTTTTTTTTTTTTAATCTGGGGAGAAAGCACATTATTGCCTTTGATTTCATTAATGACACTTAGGAACAGTCTCAGTAATGAGCCCAAATCTATCCATCTGAAAAGTAACACGCTTTCTTGGTGGCACTATATTCTAATTACTAAAAGTAATCAAGAGGAAATATTCTACTGTGGAGTTCTATCTCTACAAATAACAACAATCATAAAGATTATAGCAGCTAATACTTATTGAGTACTTACTATAGGTTAGGCAGTGTTCAACGTGCTACTATAGGTTAGGCAGTGTTCAACGTGCTTTAGTTATATTAATATAACTAATTCTCACAACAACCTTCTGAGGATGGTACTATTATCTGCATTTCACCAAAAAGGAAACCAAGGTACAGAGATGTTCAGTAACGTACTCAAGGTCAAGGTCACACAAGTAGAGCTGTCAATCTGGGCACATGGTTTAGTGTTCATCTCTAAACCATGACACTCTATTACTCTTCAGTCAAAACCTGCAAGTCTTAGATGATGATGTTTACATTCATATCTGTGGTTCTACTGATTTCAACTAAAATCCTGAATTTTGTTTATAATTAGTAAGGGTTAAATGTCCTTGAGATTTACTACTGCATATATGCCGCATTTCCTGATACCAGTCCAGTTGGTGTTTTCACAAAACATTTTCCTTATGTTTTTCTCTGGCTAACAAACTGGCATCTTTTTTATTAGGACCATATATCTTTTTATACAGAACTATTAGGATAGTTCTGATAGTTATCCCATGGATAAGAAAACTGTCCAAGTTATAGATTCTAACAAGGAATTAGGGAAAACACAAACACAGCACCTTTCCCTTCATGCTTTTGGGCTCAGTCCTATAAGCAGTACTGCAATAAATCTTCCCAGAGTTGAATTTGCCCTATAATTTTACCAATTACCAGCATATCCTCTAGCTAACTCTTAAGCAGGGACTGTCTCATACATCTACATATCCTCAAGTCTAACTCAGTACACAGCTCAATAAATGTTTGCTGAACTTGGTTGATTTTTAATTCCACAAAGTTTTTCCTCTTCCAATTTAACAAACATCTTTTGACAGTTCAGTGTATGCCAAACATAATGACAGGGAACAGAAAGAAATTCCTTACACAAATGTTTGCAGAATATAACTCATCATCATCAACAACAACAAAACAATTCAGAAAGGGGCAAAGGAATTGAAGAATTGAAGACGTGTTTCCAAAGAAGACATAAAAACAGCCAAGTATATGAAAAGATGTCAGACATTACTAATCACTAGAGAAATGCAAATCAAAAGCCTATGAGATATCCCCTCACACCCATCAGGATGTCTCCTATCAAAAAAACCAAAAAACCTAGAAAATAACCAGTGTTGGCAAGCATATGGAGAAACTGGAAGTCATGTGTGCCGTTGTGAATGTAAAATGGTGTAGCCATTACGGAAAATACTGTGGCAGTTCTTCAAAAACTTAGAATTGCCATGAGATGACCCAAGTGTCCACTGATGGATGAATGAATGATAAGCAAAATGTGTATGTACATTTTGTATGTACATACAATGTACATACATACATACAAAATATGTACATACAATGAAACACTACTGAGCCTTAAAAGGAAGGAATGATACAAAACCGAATGCCTGGAAATGGTATAACATGGACATTCTGTTCAGTGAAATGATCTGGACACAGAAGAACAGATACCTTATCATCCCACTTATATGAGGTACCTAGAGTAGTCAAATTCAGAGACAGAAGGTAGAATGGTGGCTACCAAGGGCTTGAGAGAGAGAAGAATGGGGAGTAAGTATTGACTGGGGACACCGTTTCAGTTTTACGAGATGAAGTGTTTTACGGATAGATGGTGTGATGGTTGCACAACAGTATGAATGTACCTAATGTCCCTGATCTGTACACTTAAAAACGGTTAAATGGTTAATTTTCTTATGTGTATTTTACCACTATTCTTTTAAAAAAACTGTTTGCCAAAGACTAACAGTCTAGATTTCTTCAAGAATTAGCTGACATCATGTCCTTGCTTTCCAAATAGCCACGTGACAAAAAAAACTTCCTTTAAACTCTAAAATTAGACCAAAGGCCCAAAAGTCTGAGGACTATACCATCCATGTCCCCTTAACAGTACTATTTTTTTGTTAATATGGAATGCCCAATATTCAACTGTTTCATTTCCAGTTCCTATACCTTAGGTATACAATTTCTAGTACTGAGCCCCTTGTAACAAATTTTACTTTACCTGAGTATTTTGAATCTCTTATATACATTCAAAGGTAAAACAAATTTCACTAAGTAGTATCAACACAAAAAAGGCTTTTCTACTAAGCCTTTGCTGGCTGCTGGTTTGTGGTCCCACTTGATATTTCTTGCTTTGTATACGTATTTGTTTTTGCTTTATATTTTAAAAACATGTTTTTAGTCACACTCAAGGATCCCCAGAAAGGTCACTTTACTATTTGAGATTGTGAACTGAACAGATTTATCTTGCCATTCTCAAACTATTACTGGGAAAAAGTGTTTGCTTTTGATGGGGAGAGCACCATTAAAATGTAAACAGAAATGCCTATCTGTAATAACTTCAGTCAATTAACTTTCAGATATATAATGCTTATAGTAAAAAGAGTTGGTAAAAAAATTTAAACTGAGACGTGTCTTCTATAGATCCAATGGACAACAAAGCAAAGGTTTCCCCTACCTGCTGTTTCTTGCCCATGGCAAGTGTTCAGCTCAGCCAGAAGCTGGTTAAAATCATCCTGATGAGCAATCCAGTTATCCTGAAAATACCCAAAAAATCAAATAAAGGTAAGCTTACAGTTTACTTGCACCAGTTGAGATAGATTTATTTTGGAATCAAGGAAATCTAGTGGTTAATGTGAAACTTTAAATGTTTCATCAAAATATTATGACATAAATTTGAATGAAGAAATAACATAAATTTAAAATATAATTTATCTGTGTCAGTATTGAAAATGGGCTTATTTGAAGCCTGAGTCCTGATTTCAAATGTGGATAACTTATCAACAGTCCACTTATAATCAAATAATCAACAGGCAACCTGCATGCTAAATATTAAAATAAAGCAAAATAAAATCATTACCTCATTATGGAAATATTATGTGGGTCAAAGGAAAAAAGCAGTGACAGAGTTCAGGGCTCTCTTTTGTGCTCATGTGAACTTAAAATACTTTGCCCAATTCTACATGCTTGCATTGACCCCCAATTTACAAAACCACACTGAGGAAGGAGTAAGAAAGACTCCAATTTCCCTCAGTCGGCACCTTCATGAAGTGGTGCTAATATGTTCATTGTAGCAAAAATAATCTGACTTTAAAAGGGAATGGGCATCTCCGAAACAATCTAACCAGTGGGAAGCAAGTATCAATGCAGAAATTTGCCTTATACACACTTTTTTAAGAATGCTGAAGGTTAAGGCATGTTAAAAATAGGTTTACTGGGGCGCCTGGGTGGTTCAGTCGGTTAAGCGTCCGACTTCAGCTCAGGTCACGATCTCGTGGTCCACGAGTTCAAGCCCCGCGTCGGGCTCTGGGCTGATGGCTCAGAGCCTGCAGCCTGCGTCCGATTCTGTGTCTCCCTCTCTCTCTGCCCCTCCCCCGTTCATGCTATGTCTCTCTCTGTCTCAAAAATAAATAAATGTTAAAAAAAAAATTTTTTTTAAATAAAAATAAAAAAAAAATAAAAATAGGTTTACTGGGCAACGCTTCTCCTAAAAATTAAGTTTATCTATACATCCATCTTTTAACAACTACCTTCAAAACCAACCTCATATAAACTCTTTAGTGGTTTAAAATTTTAGCTGTTAGCCCGAAAAATTTTAGCTGCTCTAGTCTATCACTCAGCGCAATTACCATTTCTAGTCCATTACTCAGTGTATCAAATCAAAATAATTTGGTGTAGTTCTCCAAAATAATAAGTAGTTCTCCAGATTTCCTATCAGATTCTGTTGGCTGTAAAAATTTAAGAACAAAGTTTTCAGCTCAGACACTATAGTAATACTGAATACTTATACACTTATATATACTTGTACACTTAAAACATAGACACTATAGTAATACTGAAAAAGAAAAGCACAATAGGCCATTAATTTTTAATTACGGTGTTATATTTTCAAAGCACCAGTATTTAAGGAGAAACATGAATAAATTCAACTGCTATATACCAATAGTCGGAAACAGACAAAAGGGAGGCGCCTGGTTGGCTCAGTCAGTTAAACGTTCGACTTGGGCTCAAGTCATGATCTCACAGTTTGTGGGTTCGAGTCCGGCATGGGGCTCTGTGCTGACGGACACTGTCTCTCCCTGTCTCTCTGCCCCTCTTCTGCCCACACTTGGTCTCTCTCAAAAATAAAAAAATGTTAAAAAATGAAATTAAAAAATAGACAAAAGGACAGGAAAAGGTCACCACTTTCTTGCAGAAAAAACTTAATTTCTCTCCGAAGTTAAATGCCACTAACTTTTAATAGTATAAGCAAATACTAGAAAAAAGATAAAGATAAAAATTCCTTTCTATACTGAAATGAATATTTCTATAAAAAGAATATTTTTTTCAAAGTTTAGGAACAAAACTAATTCAGATCTCTTAGACATAATCAAGTAAAGAATCCCATAAGGACAACAAGGCAAGGTGAAGGCATGGTGTGTGGTGAAAAGCCTGCTTAGTTATGGGCTCTTTAGTCAACCACAGCATGGAAGATACACACGTGCATAGTTAAAACCTCATCAATTTGATGAAATATGTGTATTTACAAAAAAAGCCAATCATGCAAGGAAAACCCCCAGCAAACACACTGTTGCTCACTTCATTATTGATTGTAGCTCCAAGTCCCAGGTGGTTATTTTTAACTTGAACTTTAATATGATCTGTGGCTCCTTGCTCCTGAGCCCCTAAACCCTGTGGAGGTCAAGCACAAAGAGAGTTAGTATTTTTATCAAGTATAAAGAGAGATCACATCTTTCTTCCTTCATCAACTATTCGACTAATTATGAAATATCCAGGAGTGAGGCACTATCCTTATCCTCAGAGAGGACACAGTCTAATGGATTCTTACAGAGTATGTCTGTAACACCAAGGATGCACTTACAATAATGAATGCTAACTCTTCAACCTGAGACCTATTTCACGGCCCATGTACACACTATGCAGAACATGCCTTTTGTGATGCTCGAAATCAGAGTACTATTACCAAACTAATGGAATCCCATTGGAGATATTACAAATCTATGGCTCTCTCCATTACATAATTTTACAAAACAACACTGAGAGAGTGGAGAAAGGAGACCCCAAGTCCCTAAATCAATCAACACTCATTTGTAAGGTGTCTCAGAGAGGCTGCTGTACTGAAGAAACTAAAAGGCAACCAGGGTGGCTCTAGGTGAGTGGACAGAGAGAAAATAAGATAAAATAAAGGGGCTAGACATCACAGGACCCTAGAAATTACAGTAGAAATTTGGATTTAATTTTTTAAAACAACGGGAAGCCACTGAACTTTTAAGCAAGGGAATGCCATGATCTAATTTCTGTATTTCAAAAGATATTCTGGTTATTGTTTGGCAAACGGCCCAGAGGAAGAAAAGGAGGGAGGGAAGCAGCTGAGAGGGCAGGCAGTGATGGCGTGTGGACCAGGATGGGGCCCCGGATAGAGAGGAATAATGACTGGCGATGCGAGAAGTGAGAGAGGTAGAGGAACCAAGCAAGACCATTTACAAAAATGGGGAAAACTTGAGACGGAAAAGACTGGAAGGTGGGTATCAAGAATTTTATAACAAAAATTATAAAGTTGAGATGCTCACTCAAGTAGAAATGTCAAGCAGGCTGGTGAATTTACAAACCTGAAGCTCAGAGGACAGATCTGGACCAGATAATTCTCAGAACTTAGACCATTCAAAGTATGGTATGGAATCAAAGAGCTCACCTTTCAGAATACAGAAAAGGCCTGGGGCTGAGGAGCTCCAGAGCTCAAAAGGCTGGAAGAGGAAGAGCCAGCAACATACTTAGGAGTGGCCAATGCGGTAGAAGGAAAAACAGGGGGGAGAGCAGTACTGTGGAAGCCAAGACACAAGTATTGCAAGAATAGTCCAGTATGTCCAATGCTGCTAAGGGATTAAGTAACGTGAGAATAAAAAAGGATCCACTGGATTGGGAACAAGATCATTAAAGGCCATCACAAGAACCATTTAAATACAAAAGTATCACCAGAAACCCATTTCAGCCAGGAATAAATAGTGTGAGGAAAATGGGAAAATGTATATTCTGAGCTATAAAGGGGAACAAAATATTACTCTTAGCAATATAAAAACACTGATGGTTAAGTATGATTCCAAGTGCAGCTAATTAAAAGGCACAATCTATGAAAGATGCTAATCACAGCAATTTAAATGATAAACGAAGAGAACTGACCTTTATGTTCAATTCTAATTTTATCATGACAATTTAATTATGTCTCCAAAATCACTTACTGATCAAAAACACAAATTTCTCCCAGTGTCCTAAGAAAGATGCATTCTCCTGATTTGCCTTTATGCATGGCTCCAATTTCTTTTGCTCTTCTCCAACATACCTTTCCTTTAGACCACCCCATCTTCTCTAGCATCCTCTGGCCAAACTTGGAATCATCATTGCTCCAGGCAGTGTTTCTCGGATCCACAGCCCACTTCTGCTTCCGCCGACCTGCAAATGACAAAGTATCTCATCAGCAATTTATCTTTTAAACCTGGAAAACACTACACAAATACACACAAAACCTAATACGTACACACATATTTGCATAAAATACGACAAACAATATGTTTTATTAGATACAGATATCACATTCAGCATTCAATGAAATATCATCATTGGATCACTTACCCTGGTTTTCCCAGTAACTGCTGTATTCTCAATATACAAACTGGCCTAAGATAAAAATAACAGTGTTCCCTCCAAATGTGACAAATAGAAATACATGATATACCATCAGTTGGCCTTCCACACTCAGCTAAAGGCAGCAACTGTAAGCACTTGTCAACACCAGTGTCATCATCACCACCAGCAGCATCAGCCACTACAGCTACCGGTGCCATACGTTATGTACCAAATGTTATTCATATATTGTATTCGATTTGCACAGTAACCCAATGAGGATGGAAATTCTTACCTCCATTTTTCAGATGAGGAAATCTGAGGCTTAGAGAAAGAAATGTACCTAATGCCCCCAAACAAATACCAGAGCCTCTATACAAAGCAAGGGTCTACTGACATCAAAGCTTATATTCTTAATCCACAATATGTAACGGTCATTATGATCTTGGGGAGAGTCAACTGTACCCTCCACACATGTGATCTACACATAGTTATGATGTCATCCCTTATTACTGAAATGCCCTAGAGACACATGACCCCTTCTCTGAACTTCCAAAATAAACTATCTGCATCTTTTCTGGCACTGAACACACAGTCTTCTGTATTATGACTACTAATATCCTTCTCTTATGCTTACTATGAGACCATCATCTCCTTACAGCTTACATTTGTGTGCTATTCTTTTCCATGCTTCATTGCAAGAAGTAGAAAACACTATGCCCACAGCAGGCACTCAGGAAATATGTGAATGAATGTATGAGTGAATTCAAAAGAAAGAAGGAAGAAAAAAGGAGACAAGAGGAAAGGAACGAAGGAAGGAAAGAACATAATTAAGGGAACTGCTTTGAATCTCTTCGTATTAAGTATTTTTTAATGCATACAGATAATTGACCATTGGGAACTCAAATTTATCAGTATAGTTTTGTGGAAAATTGCTGCAGAGATACAGAACCTCAAAAAGTTCACAGAACAAGAACACGAAGCCCTAAAGTAAATTGTGGCCAATTGAGAAATTTGGAGGTCAAGTGTGCTTATTATTCACCTACTGCAGCAATCAAAGCACAGTATCTCACTATCAACAACAGCCTTATGCTTGGCAGTCTCTTAACTCCCTGCGTCCCCTCCTCCTTCAAGGAAGGCAGAGTGTCACATGCTGCACCTCATTTGGACGTGTCTAGAGTCTTGGAAGCTTGATTACCCTACGTTCTACAAACAGACCTTGGGTTGAAGGTTCTAGAAGGGGAGCACAGCTACTAGTATACCCTTGACAGAAGAACAGTCCTCCTCTCTCTCTTTTCTAAAGGGGAAGGTTGCCCTCTTCAACCTATTGTGCAGCTTCGGGAGGGACACACATAGAGCAGTGGGGAAGGGGACACCCGCCTAACCAGCCAGGTCAGCCAAATCAACCCTGGCAATCAATGCGGTGACAGATGTCACAGCCAGATCACCCTCACATCTTCACAACATACTTTAAAAATAATACAACCTCCAGCAAGAGGCTTACTGTATAACATGTAAAATCAATAAAGGGACCCAAAACTACACACATCCAAACAAAAGTAAACTTTTTACAAGCATGCAGAAAAAGCAAAACAAGTTGGGCTCAAATCTACAGTTTTGCAAGAAAAAGGTGACCCCAAAATGTTAACCATGACTAAGTTACCACTTTACCTATATTAGTAAATACAGAGAATAACATTGCCTCTGCTAATGAACAACATACCAGATATGAGCTTTCTTAGCCATGTTCTCTTTGTAAGGCTGCTTACTGGTATGTGTCAGCATTCATGTCTCTCCACAGCGGTGCCTGCCAGGGATTCTAACTGGGGCTTATACGAAAAAGACATTTCTGAGAATGAATGAACCCACCTTATGCAATAAGAACTCCAACACTTTATGTTACATACACATACACAGCAGACTGTAATAATACTTATACAAAAGATCACCAAGGTCAGTTCCTCTTCCTTGCAGAAACGTCAGGTATCCTCAAATAAAGGGGTAGGGCAGGGTTTCCCCAGTGAGAATGTTAAATCAGGGGAGCTTCCCATTAAAATAAAATAGAGCAACACTGTGTGAAACAAAATTTAATAGTGTTCCATATTAGAGACTTTCCCAGAACATTTCATATGCAGATGTGTAGATCCTCTAAGGGCAAAGCAGGCATGCTATGTTTCCCAAATTTATTTGATCCGAACCCTACTTCACTGGAAGGCTTTTCGGGCTCCAGTGCTATAGAATTTCCAGGTTTGGGAAATCCTGGCAAGGAAAAGACTGTCACTGGTCTGTTCAGATTGGATCAACTTTTACATGTGCTTTGTTACTCTTATTCCACATTCTGCGCTTAGATGTCAACTTTGTTAACCCTGTGTGCAGAAGAGAACATAGCAGGCCTCACTACTAACCTTCGAAAGGCTTGCTTACGAGGTTGGCACCTTGGCTGGGAACCTGGCTTTCAGGAGGGTTCCAAGCATTCTCGGAATTGGTGAGTGGCTCACTACGCCTAATTGTTAATACAAACAATATGGTTTATACTGAATACTTGGCTTTCCTTCTGGGAGTCTGGAGCACTGGCCTCAGGGTTGAGTACCCTGAATCTGCAGAATCACTATTTAGGATGATGTGTTCTGCCATCCACTAGCCAGACTCCTCCTATTTGGAGTTCTAACTTTAGATGGTTCCATCAAGACATTTTAGGGGTAACCCCAATAAATAACCTTTTTCTTTTTTTTTTTCTGTTGAAGCAAAGTTTAATAGCATTTTTTTTAATTAATTTTTTTTTAACGTTTATTTATTTTGGAGATAGAGAGAGAGACAGAGCATGAATGGGGGAGGGTCAGAGAGAGGGAGACACAGAATCCGAAACAGGCTCCAGGCTCTGAGCTGTCAGCACAGAGCCCGACGCAGGGCTCAAACTCACGGACTGTGAGATCATGACCTGAGCCGAAGTCGGCCGCCCAACCGACTGAGCCACCCAGGCGCCCCTTAATAGCATTTTTAATAGAGAAATTATAAAAATAATTTATAATCAAGTATATAAATCATTTTTTGCTATATTTTTTACCTAGGTCACATTAGAAAGCCTTATTTGACTCTAGATTATATAAATATCCAACTATATTTTCCAACTATTTAATCCTTAAGTATTTTTGTTGAGATATAATTCACAAACCATAAAATTCACCCATTTAAAGTGTAGTATTCATTGGTTTTTAGTATATTCATGGAGTAGTACCATCACCATTACCCACTTAAAGAATATTTTCATCACCCCAAAATAATTATATTTAAATATGATTAAATATAATTAATTTTGAATTAATTTTTATATACATGCTAAATAAGAGTACTTCATTCTTTTGCTTGTGAACATCCAGTTGCTTGAGCACCGTTCTTTGAAAAAACTATTCCTTCCCCATTGAATTGTCTTGGCACTCCTGAAAATCAATTGAGTATAAATATAACGGTTTATTTCTAGACTCTCAATTCTATTCACTTTTCAATTACTCCATGCCTAATACCACATGACTTATGCCAGGATTCAGCTTACTCTGAAAGGTGTGTTGAGTCCCAAAAGCCAGGGACAGAAGTTTTGTCTTTTTTTTCTTTTTCAAAGGACACTTTTAGATATTCAAGAGCTCAAAATATACCATCCATGTACCATGTATTCCTATTAAAAAATTATTCAAGACATAGTCAAAGTTAAAGAAACTGCAGTATAAAAATCTTAATGCGATGAGCACTAAAATCCATTAACTATAGTGTGATTTGACTATAAATATGACTAGAAGTGTCAAAAATTGTCTTGAAAAGGAAAGAATCTAAGAAAAGAGTAATATCTTGATAAAAATCCAGGTCTAAAACTTCAAATGATATAAAGACTAGGAAGTGAGATCAATAAATTAAATTCTTGTCTTACATAGGGGGAAGTTTCGGTAAGCTAGATTTTTTGTCTTACACAAAGGAGACCCAATAAAACAACACTTGATAATTACAGAAATAATAAATAAAAAATATATTTGAGAAACACAAAGAAAACTACTAGATTTTAAAAATAGGGTAAGTGCCTATAGCAAAAATAAAACAAAATATAGTACATATGGCAAGGGAAAACAGAGGAAATAGCATGTGCTTAATGAATTGAAAATGTTCACTAATGTTAAGTGGGGGAAAAACCAAAACTGTACCTACAGAATTAAGAATCACCCCAATTTTATAAACTAACAGAAAATAGAATTGCTAGGCAGTGAAATTATGAGTATGGGGCTTTTTTTTTTTGCTTCTATTTTCTTACTTCTAAAATGAGAACATCAGTCCTAAATATCTAATCACAAAAGATGCCACAAACTATACTTAGCAAGTTATTTTAAAAGATAACACAAAATATAATATTATGCCAAGATTTGAAAATTTGGGGTGCCTGGGTGGCTCAGTTAAGCATCTCACTTCAGCTCAGGTCATGATCTCGCAGTTCTTGGGTTTGAGCACTGGGGTATGTGCTGACAGCTCAGAGCCTGAGCCTGCTGGGATTCTGTGTCTCCCTCTCTCTCTGGCCCTCCCCCGCTCACAACTCTTGTCTCAAAAATAAATAAGCATTAAAAAAAACAAAAGAGGGGCGCCTGGGTGGCTCAGTCGGTTAAGCAGCCGACTTCGGCTCAGGTCATGATCTCACGGTCCGTGAGTTCGAGCCCTGTGTCGGGCTCTGTGCTGACAGCTCAGAGCCTGGAGCCTGTTTCAGATTCTGTGTCTCCCTCTCTCTGACCCTCCCCCATTCATGCTCTGTCTCTCTCTGTCTCAAAAATAATAATAATTAAAAAAAACGTTAAAAAAAAAGATTTGAAAATTTGGAGTCATGGTGGGGAGAGAAGAACTCAAAATACTCCCTTGTAATCATGCAACTTGAATTACTGATGTCTACAGACACTATTTCATGCATCTACAGCAAGCATTTCATACTTTGAAATATTTTCACATTCACCACTTCATTGATTTTTTTTTTAAGCCAACCTAGTAACGAAGATAATAAAAGTAGTTTTTAATAGTCCCACAGAAACTGATCATGGAAAGAGACATAAATGAACAGCAGAGCCAGGGCCAACGTGCATGCTGTATTAAGCATACATCAGAAAATATTAAAACCAGAAAAGATCTTAGCAGCCCTAGTTTTACAAACGAAGAAACAGCCCACAGAGTCACAGTCTAGAACATATTGTTTTCTGTAAGTCCGTATTTAAAAACAATAGAAAACTGCTGGTCCTAGTGACAAAAAAGTTAAGATACGAGATAACTAGATCAAATTTGTCACTTTCTGGCTCAGTGACTCGGGGCAAATTATTTTCCTCTGCACCTCGATTTCATCCCCTGTAAAACTGGAACTCCCTGTAAAACTCTTTACTCCTTGCGTTTTGTGCTCCCATTCTTCCACCTTCTTAGATAAGAGGATGCTGATAACATTTATTTCACAGACTCCTATGTGGTTGCTGTAGGTCTGTTCAAGCGGTTTCTGTTCATTGCTCACTATACACTTCCAAAAAAGTTATGGGCCATCTTTTCATGGCCAAAGCACGACTGCCATCTGGTGGCAGGAAACCTTAGCTACAGATACCGCTCAGAAGTCAAATAGCCTCTCCAGAGGGAGGGAATTGATGAACTTCACAAAGTGGTGATGTCAGAAGCAAACTGAAGCAGGACGCGGCGTTACAGCCACCACTCCTGTCACACAAGAATGTTAGCATTTCCAACTAAGCCCAACTAAGCCAGTCTTACTTAGAATCACTCATTAGCCCTGCATCCCCTAAAAAAGGCTAACTTCCTGCGTTTGACGCTTTTAACCCCTTTGCTTTTCTTTTTCTGGGTTCAATAAACCTTCGAGAACGGGATTTCACTGCCTGAAGAGATTCTGCTGGCCCAGCCGTCTCTTTTTAACCAGAAGAAGCTGAGGGCCGGCGAAATGAAAGACCAAGTCAGGGTTCCTACGATCGGCGTTCTGGCTCCCATTCGAGCCCACCGCGCGCGTGCCCAGATCTGAGCTTGAGGACAAAGTCCCACGTGGACACTGGCAGTCTCTTTCACTAACCGACCAGTAGCTAACCTGGGGAAGGCTGCGCTGGGAAATCTCTGCGGCAGGCAGGGCGAGCCGAACCGGGGTTACCCAGTCCCCTGGCTGGCATCCCCCGCCCCGCTGCGCGCCGGAGACCCGCACCCCGCACCACTTGGTCTGGCCAGGCGCGTCACCTGGAAACTTCACCCTCGCTCCCTCCACTCACGCTCAGCCAGCATTGACATGTCGAGAGCCTGTGACGCCACGAGCCTCCGGACCTGAGAGGTGGCGGCAACCAAGCAGCCGGCTCGCGGAGAAGTTGCAACCACCAGACTCGCAAACCAGGTGGACTGCGGCGGCCGAGGCGCGTGCTGGTGACGTCAGTGGGCCGCGACCGGCCCTCAACCACGTGGCGGCGAGTGGGCGGGACGCGGGCCTTCTGGGGGAGGGGCGGGCCGGGGAGAGTATATTCCGGAAGGTGCGGGCTTGCGGACACCCAGGGGGAGAGGTCAGAGGTCTCCGGGTCTAAAGCAGGTGGAGGGAAGGGTGTGGGTTTATTCGCATGAGCAAGTTCCTGAACTAAATGATTGCCTACGTGTAAACGCTTCTAAAAGCGTCTGCCACAGAGCAAGCGCTCAATAGGGTTACCTGTGTCACTCTCAATATTAACTAAATGCCAAGAGTGGTGGTTTCTGGAAGTAAAACATGAACTCTGCCCTCCGCTCAGAATCTCCTGAGGAAAAGAAACATGTAAACAATAGTTCTTAGGGCCGCCAGTATTATTAAAACGGTGTGTATGAGGAGTTTGACAAACTCACCTGGAGGGGAGGACTTTGCAGTATGGTGTCCCACCTCTGCCTTCTGAGGTAGATAGGTAAGTAGACACATAACTACGAATCTATCTGTGGGATCCCAAGTTAATAAGATAACTAAACGTGGCTAAAATGTTGTCTGTCTTTAACATGATGTCTTCAACAAGACTAATAGTTTTTTTCAATATATAATCCTCATAGAGATGTCATAGACGCAAGAAATGGTGGAGTTGAAACAAACCATGGAAACCATTAGTCTATCCTGCATTCTTCCAAATGCAGTCCCTTTTATAGGATTCCTTTTTTGTCTCTGACTGAACATCTCCAGGAAAGGCAGCTCACCAAATCACAAGGCACAACCATTCCTTACTATTCACTGCCACACTCAACAATCCGAGTTTAGTTTTGACCTAGACCACACCAGCAGTGATGCAAACTTCTGTCTCAATGTTTCTGACCATCAAAGAGACAAAATTATCTTCCTGCAAACGTATACCAACGTATGTGGTGCTTGAAAATGCTGACTTCCTGATCAATTCACTATTGTCCACTCTCATGTAACTACCTTCTATTTTCTCCTATCTTATCAAACAGATCAGCTAATTATCCAAAGACTTGGGTGATCCTGCCTTTCTCATTTGGAGCAAGTCCAACTCCCTACTTTACTCCTGTTTTCTGCGCCACAACTTATGTGCTCCCTGACTTAGTTATAAAAGTTACATTGATTTTGCCTCTCCTCTTTCCCCTCAGTTCCTGGGTATTCACTGCTAGCAGCAACTATTCTTTTGTATTTCTTTTTTCTAATGTTTATGAAACTAGGTAAGTTTACCTTGATGGTCTAGACCCCTAGTTAAAGGGAAACTTCATCTAGAACAGGAATCTAGTCCTTCATACAGCTTCTCTTGGCACCTAGGGTGCTCTCTTTATGTTCTACTCATGAGAAGAAAGCCTTCTATCTATATAGTCACCTGAAATTTGTGGAGTCACATGTCCCTCCTCTCTGTCTGACAGTCTCCTTGCCAGAATTTCATTAGAACTCCCCTGGAGACTGAGACACTTCAGTTAGAATTCACAAAACAGCCCCTACCGTACTCAAACTATTCTGCTAGGTGTCTATGTGCATACAGAGATGATTATGATAAAGGCCAAGTTCCAGAGTGCACGTTATAATGGGAAAAAACTATTGTTAAGTTTGGGCTTTAAAAAATGTATATAGAACCCTATGTGTATTTTTAAATTGTCAGTTGGGAGTGGATACTGTACTTTTAAGAACAAGGTGATTCAGGGGCACCTGGGTGGCTCATTCGGTTAAACATCCAACTTCAGCTCAGATCATGATCTTGCAGTTCACAGTTCGAGCCCATGTCAGGCTCTGTGCTGACAGCTCAGAGCCTAGAGCCTGCTTTGGATTCTGTGTCTCCCTGTCTCTCTGCCCCTGCCCCGGTCATGCGCACACTCTCTCTCAAAAATAAATAAAAACATTAAAAAATTTAAAAATAAATAAAAATAAGACACATCAGTGTAAGACATTCAGTCTTATTCTTCAGTCTCTTTCTTGGCAGACCCTCTCAGAGCAGTGCTTCTCAACCTTTAATGTGCATGTGAATCATCTGAGGATCTTATTAAAATGCAGTTTCTCATTCAGCAGGTCTGGGATAGGACCAGAAATTCTGCGCTTCTAACAAGCTTCCAAGGATGTGGGTGCCGATGATCCACAGACCTTCCTTTGTGCAGCAGGCCATTAAACAACCAAAGGTATGAATAAACGCAGGGTTAAAATATACCGTTTTGTTTTTTTTTTTCTGTTCAAGAAAAGTACTTTGCGAAGAATACCTTTAGGTAACAAATGCTTTCAATATACGAAAGAACTGAACCTAGAAGTTACTTGGATAAGTCATCTGACATAGTCCCCCACCTTCAGGCAAGCAAAGACCAATGTCAGAGATAGATGATTGCTACTTCTTTTCTTTAACTCTGGCAAATCTCAGTCAACACCCCCCCCCCCCACACACACACACTCTCCACATACATACAATTACAAAAGCTAATTACACATTCTGCACAATCACAAAAAGGAATTCTCATATGCTGTACTACATCTTTATATATCAGATGTATCACTAAAATTTTTATCTGTAAAAGAAATAGAACTGAATCTTGCCAGTTAAACTTAGCCCAGTCCTAAGAGGCACCAGGCTGATAACAATGGAGGAAGAAAAAAGCAGTCAGAAAATATTACAGAGCCTAAATTCTGCTACCAGCTTGGAGTGTGATCTTGAGAAAGTCATCTTGAAATTACCTCTTTTTATAACACTGATCCAATCTATGAAAAAAGAATTATCACTGAGATTATTTCCATCTGAAAGACTTTCAGAAAATTACTTTAATCAGAAAAGCATAAGTCAGTGATATGAACATTAAAGGGACTATAATATCATAATATTTGAGATCTAGGATTCTTTTTTTTTTTTTTGATGTTTATTTATTTTTGAGAGAGACAGAGACAGAATGCGAGTGGGTTAGGGGCAGAGAGAGAGGGAGACACAGAATCAGAAGCAGGCTCCAGGCTCTGAGCTGTCAGCACAGAGCCTGACACGGGGCTTGAACTCAAGCCGTGAGATCATGACCTGAGCCGAAGTCGGATGCTCAACCGACTGAGCCACCCAGGCACCCCAGAGAGCTAGGATTCTGAAGCCACACTTTCTGGGTTCAAATCTTAGCTCTGTCACTTACTAGCTTTGGTAACCTGCTGTGTATCTTGGGCAGATTACTTTACCTCCCTATTCCTCTATTAAGAGAAATAATGAGATGATACATGTCAAGTGCTTAGAAAGGCACCTGACGCATAGGAAACATTCAATATAATACTCAATAAGGCATTATTATAATTTTAAAGGAAATAGAGGTTAGGATGATTATTTCAACAAATATTTATTGTTTCAGAGATTGTGCTTGGTGCTGGAATTACAAAAGTGAACAAAACAGTCATGACCCCTACCCTCATTGAGTTTGCAAAGAAGAGAGACATTACCATAAATATAGAATTAGACCTGAAGGTAAATGTTGTGAAAGAGAAATACATGCGGCTAGGACAGAATATAAGAGGGGATTTAACTTAGGAAAATTAGAGAAAGCTTCCACAAGGAAGTGACAAATGAATTAAAACATGGACTATTCCAGGACTTGATGTGGCTAGAATTCAGAGCAAGGGAAAACAAGGCCACAAAATTGAATAAGGGGCCAGTTCTTACAAGGCATTGTGGGTCATAATAACGGTCAGGGTCTTTGTCACAAGAGCTATGGGAAGTCACTGAAGAATTTTTAAGTAGGGGAGTAACACACATTATAGCTTCTAAAAGTTCCCTATGGCCGTTGTATGGGCTGAACACATTGAAGGGAGAAAGGTATATATGGGAAGACTGATTTGGGAGTTGAGAGAGAGAAAGTTGTCAAGAATAATCTCAAAATTTCTACAACTGAAATGGTGGTATTTGGGAGTGAGGAATAAAATAACTCAGTTTTAGATATGAGATGATTGAGGTGTCTTTGAGTATGAACCTCATCAGTTAGACATAAGTGTCCAGAGCTCAGGGAACAGGTTGGGCTAGATATAAAAATTGGGAATCATGCAAATGTAGATGTTAAAGGAAGCCATGGACCATAATGTGTGCACCCAGAAGGCATATGGAATGAGAATAGCAAAAGGCCAAGCTTTGAGGAAGTCTAAATTTAATAGCCAGAAGAGAATAACAAGACTCCTAGGAGAGATAGAAGGAGCTGCTGTAGAGGTAAGAGGAAAAGCAGGGAGGGAAATGTTTAAGATAACGATGAACTGATCAGCAATGTTGAAAGCAGCAAGAGATCAAGTATGAATACTGATGATTTTTATGAAGCAGTGAATCAATTTCAATGCTTCTGAAAGTCTCCTTTGGAGACTAGGTGATTAAAAAAATAAAAGAAGAGGAGATTTAGAGTTCTGCAAGCAAAAGAGAATCCTAAACAATCAAGGAATCTGCATTTCTTTTCCCCAATTTCCCCTCCACACACACTAAAAAGAGAGCTACTGTTTGCAAGGGCACTTTGCTACACTGAGAGTAAGTGGCACTCTTGCACTATGCCTTAGCCAAGAGCCTGTCCATGAAATTAATAAACAAAAATAGCCTTCATCTATACAAGGCTTCTATGAGAAGAAAACAGAAAGTGGGAATTGAAACATTTCAATGGATGAAAATCTACCCCTGTAAAAACAACCAAAACCAGAAGAAAAGTATAGATAATACCCCATATCAAATTAATTACTTGGTGATGTGGAGGGGAAAAAACAACTCTGAATTGGAAATTCAGACTCACAGGAACAAAAAACAGAAAGAAATCAAATGAGAGTTGATTGTACACAGGAAAGAAATGGAAGTAAAAAGGCACAACCATATCAGAAGTGATGACAAGATTACAAGATGCCCAGAAGAAGCTATTCAAATTAAAAGTTAATAAGAGATATTGAAGAAAGCTAAGAGAATGAAAATAAAATTTAAAAAGGAATTTAAAA